AGTATGCACAATTTTTCCTCTTCAAAAGAAGGACATCTTCACCCCCCACACACACACACACACACACACATACACACACATCTGACTCTTTGCCAATGTGCTGAGCCAGTGGAAAATCCAACGTCTGTTCAAGAAACAGTGGTGTAGAAAGATCATTTGACTAAAGGAGGCAATATTCACACAGTGTGTCCTCACTGATAGGGATCCGGTTCTGCAAGTAAGCTGATGAGACATCTTCATGTTTGCATTTTCCTCTTGGCTTGGCTCAAGAGACACATGATCTCCAAGTGCATTTCCACCACAGTCATATGTTTATTTAAAAACTTTTCACAAAACAACTGGTAATATCTCTGTGGCTTGTGATTTAGTTTTTCCATTCCCTTTGCCTTGTTCCATTATAGATTGTTACTTAATCAGTTCACAGCAGTATTATCTAAAAAATGTGATAAGATGCAGAGTCCACAACTAAGTTCCTCTCTGTTAAAACAGCAGACACAGTCACGCGGTGCCTGTGCTAGACACTCTTTGACTAAACCTACAATTATTTGTCAAGCTATCTTGTCTCATGGTGTGTAGAGCTCTACCCCAGTAATTAAAGTTCTATGTTGGGGTGAACACGCACACAACTGCAGCTTTTGTGTTGATTCTCAAAGGTGACAGCACCGTTGCCTAACTTTGTTGTTTTGTGCATCTTCCTCTGTACCACCATGTTCTCCTTCAACCTAAATTAATAAAGCTATTCTGTTTTGAGTTTGTTTTTATTGTGCAAACAATACCCTGAAGGCAACATCCCCTTTTGGGAGAGTTTTGGTGTGCCTCATCATTAATGCTTACTCAGATGGCATGAGCAACACATTAGCATGCACAACGACTAATGACACTTGACATTAACTGTAGTTCACAAGATGCTTGAGAGCATATGGCAAATTTCCACCAAGAAACTGAGTCAACAGCAAGACTCAGACAACAGCTGTGGGAAAATTATTGCTGCTCCCATTTAAAATTTCAGTAAAACTATAAACATAGCTTGATTTTTTTGTATGTATTTGCAAAAAATGTAGTTCTCTTTTGAACTGGGCAGCAGGATTACTTTGGAGGTGGGGGGTGGGTTATTTTCTGAGAATACTTCTCTGCTCTGTTTCAGATATGTGGTCTTTTTATTTCTGGAAGTAAATAATCCTCTGTCACTATTAACAAGACAAAAGAGAGTTTCCAGATTGCTGTGAATATACTGTAGCTAAAAAGCCCCTCATGGGGCTTCACTATCTTGCTCACTTCTATGGTCCCGGAGTGTGTAAATGGATTGAAATGGAGATTAATTGGTTTCAACTGAACAGACAGTGATGACACAAGGCAGAATTCCACCATATTGTCTGTCATATTTAGACAAAGAATAGAAAATACAAACAGTAGTCACAGACTGGAATGAAAATGTTGTGCAGTGGAGTCAGTTTACTTGACATCCTATACCTACATTTTATGAACTCTTAATTATAGTGAAATTCCAGGAAATAGTCATAACACCCTGCAAGACAGCTGGCTGCAGCTACATGTTAAGAGCCCAGACACAAGATTGCATCTTTTTGTCTGACTCTTTAACAGTATGAATACTGATACAAACTACAGTACACTTGTACATCTGCAACTTTGCTGCTGTTATCTAAATGACTCTTCTGATGGGGTATTTTACTTTAAAACAAAGATCTTGTGAATAGTTTTGTATGAGGACATTTTGAGTCTATTTGCACTGTTAACATTAAATTGTGTGCCACGGTTGTGGCAGTATCTATTTTAAGACTAAGTGTTCTTTCTGGCTTTTGACTCCTTACCTGACTCCAAAGGCAAGCTGTACAATAATTCCTATATGTCTAGACTGTCTGTTTATGCATAAATGGCAAATAAAAATCTTGAATCTTGAATCTGAACAAGAAATAGATAAAGAGGGAGTGAAGATATACAGACTGATGGACAGACAGTGAGGAATTGGCAGAATTAGTGTCATGTTAGAAGGACATCTGCTTAGGGTTTGTCAAATACAAAGCACTGCAGGCTGCCAGTCAGGAAACCACAAAACCACTGACAGTGAACTGGAAAAATGGCAGACATAAAAATAGGTCATCTCTACTTCAGCACTACAGGGTTCAAAGGCCTGTGGAGTAAAACCTGTTTACCAGTGGTAGCTCAGCTGGAGCCTTTTGGAGGCTTTTGAATGTATAAAAGAAACATCAGCATTTGGTGCTCTGCTGTGCAGGAGTTCTAGTCTTGAAGTCTGAGAGCAGTGCATCATCACACTGCTGCTTTTGCATATACTGGTCAAAATTCAACACCTGCTACATCTTGAATGAATATAACACATTTTGTGGTGATATAGCCTATATTTATGTATTATATAAATGTTTTGCATAATTTTATTGTAGCTTGACTGAGTGTTCCTTTTTGTTTGTCAGTCAAATCACACAGACACAAGGTCTAATTATTGCACAAGTCAACTTACACAAATCATGTTTTTTTGCTTCTCTTCCTCTTTTTTTCTAAATCTCATTTCTCCTCTTTACATTGATCTGACTGAGAAGTTCTAAAAAACATTTTCCAACTTTTAAATTGCAACATAAACATGTTAAACATTTCCCCTGTTTACAGAACTTGAAAATATAAAAGCTTCTGTGCAATCAGGGAAGCTGCATCAAAAGGCCCAATATGTGAAAATAGCAAGTATATACTGTATGTTAATTGTTCTTGGCACATAGTTTTGCACATTCTGCATCATGCATTTTGATATTCTAACTCACTGACTTGTTCAGCTGCTGGAACTTTTCACCTTATACTCACCAATGATTTGTTTAAACTATAGTAATGAAATACAGCATAATGTATGTGCTCCTCTGTATTATTTGAACCTGTACCTCCCTTACAAGTATCTATTGGTTATTATAGCTTGGTTACTTTGTCCATTATAAACTGCTCAAAAAATTTAAATGAAATGTAATCATCACAGACAAATGCTCTCTCCTTATCCTTCCTGACTGATTTTTCTCAGGCTTTGTGTTTTGCTAGTGTCCTTGTCACTACTGGTAGCAGGAGGCAGAACCTGCAGCCCAATCAGGTTGCACAGGTTGTCCATTTACTTCAAGATGGTGCCATTCATATTTGCGGTCACAAGAAGGTTTGCTGTTTTTCCCAGCACAGTCTCAAGATCATGGAGGAGATACAGGGAGACCAGCTGTTACACCAGGAGACAGGAGAGCTGGACAGAGATGTGGAAGGGCAACAACAGCAGCAGGACACGTATCTGGTCCTTTGTGTGAGGAACAGGAGGAGCACTGTGAGAGTCCTACAAAATGACCTCCAGCATGCTACTTGTGTGCATGTTTCTGACCAAACTGTCAGAAACAGACTCCATGAGGGTGGCACGAGGGCCTGACATCCTCTAGTATGACTTGTGCTCACAGCCCAGCATTGTGCAGTTTGATTTCCATTTGCCATACAACACCATAATTAGCAGGTCCCCCACTGGCTCCCCGCTATCTTGACAGATCCTCAAATCCTCAAAGTGATTGTCAGACCTTATGCTGGTGTAGTGGGCCCTCGGTTCCTCCTGGTGCAGGACAATGCCCGGCCCCATGTGGCCAGAGTGTATAGGCAGCTCCTGGATGACGAAGCCATTGATGACATAGCCTGAGCTTCACATTCCACTGACCTAAATCCAGTTGAACACCTATCGGATATTATGCATTGGTGCATCTGATGCCACCAAGTACCACTACAAACTGTCCAGGAGCTCACTGATGCTCCGATCCAGGTCTAGAACCCCAGGGCACCATCAACCAACTCATCAGCACGCCCAGATGTTGTTGGGACTGCTTACAGGCATGAGGGGGGCCATACACACTTTTGAGTCACATAAAAAGTTGCTGTGATGAAATTCACCCAACTTGGATGAGCCTGTGATTTCAATTTTTCACTTTGATTATCAGTGTGATTTTAAATACAGCCCTCAATGGGTTGATGATTTTGGTTTCTGTTGACTGTTAGGTCATTTTGTTCTGAACAAATTATACAATGTATATTAGTAAAGATTTTCAACTTGAATAACCTGTTCATGAAGATTTGAGGTGTGCTTTGGTGTCCCCTTAATTTGTTGAGCAGTTTATAAGGAGAAGTCTAGGGGGATGGAAAAGGCAGGGACTTCAGCTTGCATTGGAATACATTGCAGTTTAGTTCAATGGCGGTTTGCTCCAGTAATGGGGATGGTGATTGTTGACTGTAACTCCTTCTCAATAGGACCAAAGAATCGCAAAGAATACAGGCATTGAACCCGGAGAGAAAACCGCTACGTCATGGAAAGAATGACGTCAGGTTGGAATAGTTACAGAGGGAAGAGCCTACTGTCGCATATGAGAAGTTCAAGCCGCAGAAACCACGTGGCAGTGGGGTTTCGGCGCGTACATTATACAGGCTGCATTCTATGACGATGGGAACTGTTGAATAACCCTGGAATATTAAAGCAACACATGAGCAAGGAGGAAGTACGAGGAGAACAAGACGTAACGGTTTCCATAGGCGACTGATATGCTGGCTAAACCAATGGGAATCCACACCAGCGGCTCATACCCATCCTCCTTTTGACGTGCATCCCATGTCCCCGGTGGTGTTGTGACAGAAAGGAACTGAGCGAGGCGAGATAACTCCCTTCAACGTATTTCTGTGTTCGCCAAATTCTACGTTACAGACAGTAGACCCCTTTATCTTTGTGTTGGTTGCGTCCCACACCGTGTCTGTTGTCTTTGTACTTAGATTTTTACTCTTAAAAATATATAGTCTTAGAAAATTGGTGATCATTCTATGATACACACATATTTCATTGTAATAGTAAAAGCGGGTGTTCTTGATTTGCACTTGTTCTGTGATGAAGTGATCTTTTATGAATAGCTATAGTGTTCATCATTATGCTACCTACTATTTAGATCAGTTAGCATTTAAGTGCAGCCGTGCACGTGTCGTGTGGTTTTCGGTCTAGAGCACTTGAGCTTCCGTGGTCTCGAATAGGGTGGAACTATCTTGACAGCCCAGGCTCCAGACTTTGGTTGTGGTTGTGACAGCGCAGTGGGCGGGATTTTACCTCAGATCAGGGGAGACAGTCTAGTCTTCAGTGAGACTGAGGGGGAGTTAAATGGAGAAAGGGACTTGGGGTGTTCTTCAGAGAACGGGGTAAGTATTTTTGGTTATATTTTCGTGCTAGTGCGACAAAATGTCGGAACAGAATGGCTGCTTCCAAGTGTTTGCATAGAAAATGCTGACAGGTTAAATCTTCATTTTTTGTGCGGTGATCAACGAGGGCCAACCACTGGTGGGTAGCTGACCGGGGTTGTTAGCCTTTTCCAACAAGCTAACATCGTTAGCTACCCGTATATCTTGTGTAGATAGTGACATTGGGCATCTCGTTTTACAACCCCGGTAGCTATTACGCCAGGATGCTGCCAAATTCTCTTTGCTTGTGTTTACTCAGACCTCTTCATTCTGTTGGGCTGAGTTTTTTGACTTGCCAATCTGCTGGAGGAGTTTTTGTGCATTTCTCTTATTTACAGTCAGCATAAGCTAACGCAAGGGAGCTAGTTGGCTAGCACTGTATGCTAGCCTGCATCGTTTACCGTTAACTTAGTCCATACGCTACAGTGTCTCGGCAGCAGACTGACATTGAGGCTCATCATTTAGAGACTTCCTGTGAAATAAAATTAAGCACTCAAAATGTGGACCTCTATTTCATTGCGATAGATACCTGCATTTCATTTAGGTTAAAAATCCCAAAGAAACACTGGGGTGCATTTTAAATGTGTCATTCGGTCTATTCAACGTTATGTGGATCCCCGTTTATAGGCAGAAGGATAATGACAGGTTGGCTAACCTTCGTGCGGTAGCGTTAACCGGCCTGGTGCGGTATTCCCCGGTATTGGACTCCACGGTTCCTCACGCGGACAACTCGGGGACCTCAGACAGGCACCCATGAAGGCACATTAGTCATGTTCTCAGCTATGTGTCACCATAGAATGGACACAGTAATTAAGTGGTTTAAAGCGTTTATCAGTAACATCAACCCGTCGAAGCTTAACCGCAACTTAAGCCACAACCATGGGATACGCTATTATGCACCGTGCCTATCCTGCCACCTGCTAAAATCTAAATGCCTTTGTAGGAACCTGCCACGTTTATCAGTGCTATCTATGATGCTTTTGAAAGCCCAATCTTCATTTTATGACTATAGCAAGGCAACTGAAAGACAGTTACGCAAAACCGTGAACCTAGCATGCTTCAGATTACATGCCAATTACCTTATAACGGTACTGAAGCTCGTATTTCCTAAGCTTTCCAGCAACTGCAAGGTAATTACGTATATTAACGTTACACTCCTGATCTTGTGTGTCAGCGTGTTATAGTTTCGCACTCGCTAACATTACCTACAAGTTTCCAGACTGATGTGGAGTGCAGCTGCTGAGCACCTTTTGGTGTCTAGTTGAAGGGATCGCTCCTTATCCAGTTAAACAGCACCGAGCTTGCTGCAGTGCCAGCAGTCTTCCCCTGTTTGTATAATGACATGTGATCCTCCAGTAGATTGCAAGCAGGGTTTTTTTTTTTTAAATCAGAATGCAATACACAATATTTAGCTTGAGCTTAAAGTGAATAGACTGATCCAGTGATAGGTGTGCCAGTCATTATAATATGGTATGGTTATCTATAGATAGATTACATAATATAATGACAGCTAAGCAATTTAGTTGGTTAAACATTGTATTTAGCCCCCGTTGTTGTAGAATATATGATAAGCAATTCCAACAACTGTCTTTACAATTTTCAGTGTTTTGTCATATGTCTGAATTTTCTAGATTTTATTGCATTAGAAAAACATCTCAGGTTTAGCAATTAGTATTTTTTGATAGCTCAGCATATACAGACTCAAAGTTTAATGATTCACTTAAACCATTAGTAACACAAGCTGTTGCTGTGTATAAACCCTTTGAACTCAGACTGTTGCTGTCACTCAAGAATGGCAAAAATATCCTTTCTTATTCTTTACATGCTTTATTGTAATGACTCTTGACAGCGCTGCTTGCCCTGACTAGGCATATGAGACAGTACTTGTTACATTTGTTCTATAAATAGTTTTGGGAAATGGTTATATCTCAGAGGTGAAATCTTGTTCTCCTTGGATTTGTGATTAAGTAGTGTTTTCCTTACATTTGTTGACCAACAGTTTTTCAAGATTACAACACTTGGTTTTCCTTCCTTGTGCAGTACATATTGGATTCATTAGGCATGCTACAGGGTGTGATATCTGCTAGTGGAACATCATAGCTTAATGTTAAAATAAGTGCCGTTTGTAGTACCAGAGCAATAGTCACTGTGAAGTAATGCAGTATATGCAGTACACTTTCTTCCAGGCAGTTGGCACCTGTCACGTCTGTCCTTAACTCATCATGAGTGACTCTCCCTTACAGCTGCTTGATATGTCCACTCATTTCTTCATCATGCTTAGTACTTGACTCCATTACAAGCGCATGTAGCCTGGAAAAAAAAAAAAAAAAAAAGTTACATTTGCTCACAGTATCACTTTGTAATGGTCCAGTAGAAAACATTTTAGAGAATACCACTGGTAGGTGGCACTTTAATCTAAGGTGACCTTGTGTCTTGTGTAGTGTCAGTGGAAGCTAAATTGGTTTATATATTTTTGTAACATTAAATATGATGTGGTTACAATACTGTTTACTTATGATGGAGTTATGCTTATCTGGTTGTCCCTGTGTGAGTTTAAGACCAAGGTTATTCCAAGCAGAGTGTTTAGGTTACATGGAGTTTCACTAGTTTATTGAAATCTTTCTTAACAAAGTAGGAGAAACACTATGCAGGTGTAAGTTAACTTGACTTCTTGGTTTAAAACACAGGTTGATATTATAGTTGCTGTGAGACCAAGGGTGCACTGAGTGGATAATCTTTGATTGGGCCTGCTAAAACAAATGAAAGACGCACACCACAAAATATCATGAATTAGTCATCCAGACAGCTACTGTACAAGGTAACTATATATGTTGGTTTATCTGAGAAGCCAGTGGGCTTTGTGGTTTGACATGCTACTGATCAAATGCTTTTTTTTTGTGTGTGTAAGGGCACACCAATAACACATTTTCAGATGGTTACATTTGAATATTTACTGATAATGAATAACCATACCTGCTTAACAGTAATGCAGTGTTTCTATTATAAAAATGACAATTACCATAAAAGTGCCTTGACTTTATAGAGATTTCATATTCATGAGATTTACTTTCTCATTATGCCTAAATAAGATGAATATCAGGAGGCTCCAATTACATATGTGTATGTGACCAAATATCTGTAGCCTACTACACAAAACACTGTAATACAGTATTTGTAAAGTGTTTTTTTTTTTTTTAAGGAATTCAGCCCTTCTTCAGGATGAAATCATTTTGCTATTCCCCACCAGAAAAGTGCATAATGTCAAAGTCAGCAGTTTAAATGTGTAATTTAAAAGGGTGCATACTGATCTGCAGCCTCTCTGCTGTACAGGAACTACGTAAAATTCACATGGGTTTTATATTTTTTCATTTTGCTAGATTCAACATAACGAGCACCTTATGTGTTTAGTGGATGAATGGGCGACCAGGTGAGTTGACAGACAAGACAGGTGTTGCATATCTGCAGATTTTTTTCCTGCTTGTTCAACGTGCGCTTGGAAAAACTGCTCATACTGCTTCCATTACTGGTGGGTTTTGTTGCCCATATCAAGTGTTGATGTCTTACTTGCATAGTTTTGTTATAGTGCCTGCTGTGTGTGCGGCCCTCCCTCAGACACACAGAGCAGAGAAGCACTTGTTATTTACCTTAAAAAATCTCAACCCTAAAACTTCTCCTCCTACAACTAACAACCTACTCAGCCATCATGAGGTTAATGTAATGTTTCTGTTAAGTGGTATCGGACAGCCTTTATGAGAACTAGAGGGTGGTATTGGACCCGATAGCTGTATTGGGATCTCAAATTTTATATTTGTTTTTTTTTAATAACCAGAAGATTTAACTGCTTCTGGTTTTACAGATCTATGTGGAATTGAAAATAACTGTTTCTTATAGCATCATCACTCAGTATATAAAACATAACCATACTTTAGGACTCCACAGTTGTCTCATTGTAAAGAATTACTGGTTGTTGTGGACAGTATTACTTGTGGCATAGAATGCTGGTATTATCTACTTTGGGCATCCTAACTGTCACTGTAGCAGTTTCCTGAAAAACTGAAAACTTGCCATATCAGGCCAGTGGTTTTCTTGTCATTATGGTCTAGCCAATGTGTGAACAATTACCACCCATGCCAGTATTTCACAATGTATTCCCATGCAGAAATAATCCTTAAAGCGCTATCTTTTGTTATTTTGTTATATTGATAATGTTAAAGCTGCATTAACTAACCTTTAATTTTCGACCATGAAGAGTGAAGTGTGAGTCAAAATGAACTCAAGCAGTATCCCCCACTGTTCTCCCTCTGCTCCTCTTTGCCCCTCCTGGCCTCTCTCTGAAACTATATCATATGTGGTCATGACAGTTGGAGGCAGTTGTGGTAGCCAGGTAGTGCAGCAGCAGCAATAACTGGCTCTAGACCTAATGTATATGGATTATAAAGCAAATGGTTTTCAGTGCCATTGCAACAACACAATGCCAAATAAAGAGGTTTACATTTTTATGATATGTAAATGTATGTCTAATATTGTTTGCAGTGAGCATATCTGAAGCACCTCAAGCAGATTATACAGAGGACTGTTGTTTCCCCCTAATATTGATATAGAACTAATGTTCAGGCCACTATTACATCATGTTTAGTGTCATACTTGACATATAATGTTATAAGGTAAACCATGAGTTGTATGGGAGGTTTAATGCTCTCCATTTCCAACATGCCATACCCGAGAAATTTCATGTTATGCTTTGATAGTTGAACAAGCTCTCCACCTTTCTAGGTACAAAATTGAAATGCTAATGGCCAGCTGCAGTACTTGCGTGCCTAGCAGGAAGAAAGCCACGCCTGTGTCAAATTTTATTCCTTTGGACACTTTTAATGCTCTCCATTTCCAACATGCCATACCCATGTTAACCCTGGTTTTGCCTCATTCTTTGTCACACTACAGAATGTGGCCTCTTGAGTCTA